CACACTGTTTGGACCTTTCCTCCATTTGGAACATTTTTCTCCCTGTAACAAGGACACGTTGCTTAACTTTGTTCCTAAAATGTAATGTCTCAGAGTAGCAGCAGGGGCAGGAATCAGTTACTTAAGCACTGAGGGGGGCACTAATACTTAGCTTTGTGGGCAGGTTGATCTTTTTGTGGGCAGGTTGATCTTTCTTTGTGACCAGTGTTTGCCATATGAAAACAGCTGAGATTTTTTGCTTCATAAAAGCTAAATAGAAAATAACTGCTTGTGTACTTTCTTCATGGAATCCAGCCTCCCTCCTGTCCGGGCTTAGGCTTGCAACAGCTGGGATGCGGCAGCTGAGCTGTGCAGCTCTGATGTTCAGGTGGAGTAACTGGTGCTCAGAACTCCTGTGCTGAACAGGCCACACTGCAGACTTCTCACGTAGGATCATCCTGAAAGCACTGCAGCGTTGCTCTGCTGGGAAGGGCCTGGGAAGATTAGCAGGAAATTCAAAGCCTTCGTCAATCAAAGGTCCTAGCTGCTATCGGCAAGTCATATCTGTAGTTAATATACAATATTTATGGGGGTAAATCAAATGAGTTTTTACTTTAGCCTTAGGAAGTGAAAAGCAACTTTGAGGTTCTGTTAGACAAATCTCATTGAGTCACTGACTGAATAATAATAAATAGGTAAGTAAATACATATTAAATATCCTTCTCCGTCAGTTATGGCCCTTTGAAAATATTAGTTCCTTTCACTTGTTTGTAGGTGCCTACTTCTCTACAAAGAGGAAGGAAGCTATTAAATTTATTTAACTCTCTGAGGTTGATTTTAAACCTCAGTGCAGTTGAGTTTTGTTTTCATTAAAGTCATTGGGACTTTTAGCATTCAACTTCATTAAAAGAGGATTGGGTTGTTAGAACTTAATATCTAACAACCCAATCCTGCTTGGTGAATCCAAGGTTAAAAGCATTTCTTCCATGGTTTCTAGGTTGATACTGGATGGTGCTCCACTTATAGCTATCCACAAAGCCCGATACTATAAGAGGAAAGATGGCTTGGCTCTGGGACCTGGACCATTTGTAACTGGTCTGGAATATGCTACAGACTCCAAAGCTACAGTGGTAGGGAAACCAGAGAGAACATTCTTCCTAGAAGCCTTACGGGGGACTGGCTGCACACCGGAAGAAACTGTTATGATTGGCGATGTAAGTATAAAGGCAGGGCAAGTGCCTGATTCTTTTATACCCTTTTCCACAGCATGCATGTGCCTTTCAGACACTGACAGACTGACTTTTCCAGTACCTGGGGGGGTTGATTGGAGGGAACTGATTCACAAACACTTGAGGGCTGATCCAGTGTCCATTTATTTAATGCTGTGTCTTCAGCGACCATGAATCAGGCTCTAAATACCTAGTCCGCGGTCATGCAGACTGTCTGTAGCAGGGGGTAGAAACCACAGCTCCTGAAAACCCGGCTAGCAAATCCCACCTCCATATAAGCATTGTCAAGAGCATGCATTCATCACAGGCAACAGTAGTGGGCCAGCTGTGAAGGCAGGAGGAGATACTGAGCCTCACACAGTGAAGGGAAGACTCAGGCTGCCACAGCAAGGACACTGGGACTAGATCTACGATGAGTTACCAAGTGTGGGAAAGACACAAGACTGTGACAGGTTGGAGGGGCTGGGACAGAAAATCCAAGCTTTGGAGAAAGAGGTGGAAATCTGTGCCCATTTAAGCATGCTACTTTAGTATCTAGCACGGAGCCCCAGGATTCCTGAATCTTGGCCCTCTCCCATCGGCAAGTACTTGTGACACTTACTGCCTAGGTCTGTTCCCTGTTACTCCGTTGGCTCAGGCAGCAGGTTTGAGCAGCCTTAAAATGGTTCCAGCCCTAGTGATGACTGATGCAAGAAACTAGGCTGAGGGGCTGCTTGCTGTACAGTGAGAACAGAACAAAATACAGAATGGCTGTTTATTAATGGAGCTCCATCCATCTGTTTGTCAAATGAGGCAGGGCCACTGTAGGAAAAGAGTATGTGATTTATTGTTAGGTCACACCATGGCTGGGTACTGATCACCATAGGAATATCCATTAATATGTTTCTGTGATTTTCCTGTTCTGTGTCTAGGACTGCAGGGATGATGTTGGTGGGGCCCAGAATGCTGGCATGCTGGGTATTCTAGTAAAGACTGGTATGTACCCTGCAGATTTTGACATCTTGTGATACTTTTGGGCTCTGGTATCTTCCCTCTGGCTTCCCAAATACCCAGTGTCTTCAGAGGAAGACCGATATTTTCCACAAGCCCCAGGTCTTAATCACGTGAAGAATGGAGATCCTCCAGCAGGGACCTTGGCCTTCTGTCACTGTGGAATATGAGTACGTGGCTAACGGTAGGCTCTGAGCACATTATGGTAGAAGGACTTGCTTCAGAATATCTTCTAGGTCCAAACTTCAGCTGCCAGAAAACAGGAGCTGGCAGCTCCTCAAAGATAGCACTGTGATCAAGAAGCCTGAAAGCTTGCCTGCATCTCTCCCATCTGTAGAGTTGGTCCAATATAAGAGATCACCAAAAAAGCCCAAACCCCTTGCTTCTCTTACAAGGACAGTTATGCAAATCAGTCTGTTTCATACACTGGGACCTAATAGGACTGCGAATTACTGTCATTTTAATTATATTGTGGTAGCGCCCCAGTGTGCCAGGCACTGTTCACACCACTAAACACAGCATGTGCAGAGCTAACTACCACATTTATATCTCTAGCTTTGCTTGTCCTTGTGCCCAAGAAATCACAGCAGCAGCTGAACCAGCTGTTTCTGCCACACACTGGAAATGGAGGTGGCGCACCAGACACCATGGACTGAAACTCCTAGTTACAGGGAACACTTTAGACTGAAAGCAGCTTTGTTAAAAGGACCTCTTTGTTCTTTCCTTACAGGTAAATATCGACCAGCAGATGAAAGCAAAATCAGTCCCCCTCCTTATTTAACCTGTGAGAGTTTCCCAAAGGCGGTGGATCACATTCTACAGCACCTGCTGTGAGACGGGAGTGTTGTGATGGAAGAAACCAGGCTCTGTTTTCACACTGTTGCCTTTATTCCCCACCGCACCCTTCAAAGCAAAGAAATGTCCAGGCATCAGTGTGCACACTACACCTGCAACCAAGAGAACAGGCTTCACTCTAGAGCACTGAAAAGAAATGGAACCAACCTGCAGCTTAATGGAAAAGCCTTGGTAAAAACACAAAGATGAAGCACTGAGAAAGGAAAAACAGGTCTCAGGTCAGCTCAGGGAAAGAAAACCAAGTGGCAGATGAAACAAATTGCTTTTGTGCATTATGTGGGGAAAGGAAAGTGACAAAGCTTTTTCTCTTTGACTCCTAGGAAATCACTGATTTAAAGGCTCATCTGAAATGTGCTAAGTGAGCTAAGGCGGAGAACCCACCAAACTAACCTAAACAGAGCAAAACAGGCATTTCCAGCCTGAAACAGCATCAGCAAGGTTTGTGTTACTTGCCATGTGTCTCCTCTCTACTCTGATCCAATTTAAATGTAGAGATGAGGCACATTTAGGAGTGACTTTTAATTTAAAATATTGCCATTATTAACTACTCACTGATGATTTCTGTCCCTTCATTAGAGCAGGTAACACTGGCTTTTGTTTTTCAAATTTTATGTAAAATTAAAACTATCAGTATTTTACAGATGTTTTAATTAGATGCCGTTATTAACAGGAATGGTACAGAAACAAAAATCTGGTCCTTAATGGCTTATAGACCATGAATTTTTGAAGTTAGACTGCAACAGGGTCCTATTAGCACTACCGTTGCAAAATTTCACTGTTGTTTTTTTTCTTTATGATGCTCTGGGAAAAATCCTTCATGAGCCGTGGGGACAGATTCCCACTTTTATGCATTTGGTTAGTACAGCTGGAAAATGACATTTCATTCCGTAGCCTGCATTGCTTTTCCTGCACGTGCTAAATCCAAAATGAACTAACTTTCTAATGATGGTAAATGGCTTTCCTTGTGCATTTGCAAACTGTAATAATCGAAGTCCCTTGCAGTTGTTTTACAGTGCTCCTGAGTGTTAAATTATTACGCTGTAACTGTACATCATTGTAGTATTCACCTTATTGAAAATACAGCTTTGTGTTAATGAGCCATGCCAATTTTTGTTAAGAAAAGCCATTATGATGAATGTGGAGCAGGCTTCACATATGTGAAGGGTCTTGCTGTTGCTTTGTTGGGTGGCCACGTGTAATGTGGAGCTGATCTCTGCAGATGCCAAATGACGTAGCATGAACATGTGGGTGCAGCGTGGAAGCCGTGCAAGAGGAACACAAGCAGCAAGGGCAGTTCTTTGGTGCAGGGATGGTCCTTTTGCTGGGTGTGTGTACCAGACACCGGACACTGGCATCCTGGTGTTGTGTGGCTGTAGTAAGAAGGGAAGGAAAGGGTGCTGAATGGCTGATGGTTGTGTGTGAGGTGTAGGTTGATTTTGCTCAGGTACCCAGACCAGACCCTTGGCTCCTGTGTGGGTAGCCTAAAGAATGGGAGCTTTCTGAGCTGGGAAGGCAGTAAGCATGGAAACACTCCTTCTGCCAGGACTGTTCCAAGTTGGATCTTCTCTGCTTTACCACTGTGAGTGAGCTAGCTAGGTAGTGTGAGGGTTACCACTAAAGTGCTCAAATGTACAACTCCATCCAGATACAGAGTTTCTTAAAAAAAAAATCTCCATTTTCTTTAACATTCCTCTACAAGGAGCTACCTTGTCTCCTCCTCCTCAAGATTAGAGTCTCCCATAGTCTCGTGCAAGTTGCACTACAGAGAACATGGCTCAGCCCTGTAGCACTGCTTGACATTTGCAAGGTTTTGAACACTGAACTTTCAAAAAAATAAGTAGCCACCGGCCATCCCAATCCACTGTCCCCTCCATCCCCTTTAATTCCACAAATATGCCCAATCCCAGCCTTTACTTTTGCTCTCCTAGTAACAGCTCCTCTTTTGTTTGTGCATCACCCATCTTTGTGAATACCTTTAAAAAAAAAGGCCTGAACACCTGGCTTCTAAAGACACTATTTAACATAATTACATTATGAACATTAAAAGAGAAAAGGAAGGAGGGAAACTGTGATAATAAAATACATTATATTACTGGATTTGGGCAAGACGGGCTAATATGCAATTTAAGTTATGCCCCAATTCCTTTAAGAATAATGTACTGATGATCAATGTCATTTGCCT